GCAATCTATCCTCATCCAGGCATTGGCCATGAGCGACATCGCCACCATCGTGGCCGTCGACATAGTCTGTATCATCACGACAATCATGACCAGCGTCATCATCATCACCATCACCAACCCCCACTTGTCTTTTCTCTCTAAACATGCTGCCTCTATAGAGCTACGGTAGCACTACCGGTAGCAGCTGTCGGCTTCCGCGCCGAGGAGCGCACGGGATCCCAGCATCGACGTCCGCTCCGCTCACTGCATCGACAGCCGGTAGCAAATCATTACAACAAAAAAGCTTTTTCCATCGATGCAAGCTAATTGAGAACGTTTGCCAAAAAGTATGAAGAGAATGGATGGGGTGGGTGAAATTTCGACAAGATGCGAATTAACAACTGAAATCCATACACAATACACACACTGTGTGTGTGTGTGTGTGTGTGTGTGTGTGTGTGTGTGTGTGTGAGAGCGAGCGAGAGAGAGAGAGAGAGAGAGGGCGAAGGAAATGAAGTGGAGAGGCAAGAAGAACAAGAAAGAAAGGCCAACACCTCCTGTCGTTTCTTCAGCAAGCGCGAGAGTGCTCTTGAGAGCCAGCACGCATGCTCTCTCTCTCTCTCTCTCTCTCTCTCTCTCTCTCTCTCTCTCTCTCTCTCTCTCTCTCTCTCTCTCTCTCTCTCTTCCGTGCGTTTATTATGTGTGTGTGTGCCGTGCGTCTATTATGCGTGTGAAGGTGTGTGTGGAGATGTGTGTGTGTGTGTGTGCCGTGCGTCTATTATGCGTGTGAAGGTGTATGTGGAGATGTGGGTGTGGGTGTGGGTGTGTGTGCGCGTGCGCGCGCGCGAGCGAGCGAGCGAGAGAGAGAGAGAGAGAGACACACACACACACAGAGAGAGAGAGAGAGAGAGAGAGAGAGAGAGAGAGAGAGAGAGAGAGAGAGAGAGAGAGAGAGAGAGAGAGACTCACCTCGAATTTGACGGAGATGGAGCGAGCACAGGTCCTCCACAGGAGCGTGTAAACTTCGGGGCAACACCTTGTCTACACGACGACGAAGCCGACAACGCGACCAAGGACATTCATCCCCTTCAGACCTGAACCCAACGACGCCCACAGCACGCAACGCAACGCAACGCAACGAAACGCAACGAAACGCAACGAAACGCAAGGTCCCATCCACTTACCTCGGGATGCCGACAGACCGCAGGTTGTGTTTCTGGCCGTCGAGATTGGCTATCTACGATCAGAAAGAAAAAGAAAATCCACCCTGGCAGCATATTGGGATCTCTCCACCGATGGAAGGCTGCTGATTTTATTTTTGTTATACTGCTTTTCGTTTTTTGCGTTTCTAAACGCTACAATCTTGCCTCAATTTCCGTTGGCGGGATACCTGCTGCTAATTGTAGGCATACGGGGAACCCGTAGCCGCCAGAACCCTGCCGACGCCGAAGGACACCCGATTAAAAAAAAAAAAAAAAAAAAAAAAGGACGCGATACAGAGAACAACACCCAAGAGCCTAGCTCAGTGGGTACACCATTCAACTATTAAAAAACGCAGACCGATGTTCGAATCCAGATGATGAAACTTGATGAGTAGAACCAAATATTTCTGAATTGCCTGGGGCCGGTCAGCTCAATGATCATATCTCAAGACCGTCGCGCTCATTCTTATAAAAAAAAACGAGTGTTAACGACGAGAAGTGGGACATCTGTCTCTTATACACATCTAGATGTGTATAAGAGACAGATACCATTGTCAGGGTATTTGCCCCGACACCGCA